GGCTCTTTCATGGTACCAATTCAATTCATCTGTATTAAAGCATTCTGGGATGTATCCAATAGTAACGTGTAAAGTATTAAATTTTGCACTTGGTCACCATGGTTGCATGTATATACATGTATCCTGCTTTCATGTACAAAGGTTGGGAGAGTACTATAAGACAAAACGCTCGCAGTAGTCAGTGATGGTTATTCCCGCACGAGGCGGCATTATGTCTTCACTTAGGACGCCCCATACTGAAAGACGTTTCTATTCTGTGTCTATACACACACACTAGTGGGAGTGCTGTTTTGTTATCGGTGCAATGTCCTGGCTACAATGAAGCTGTTTCGTTGACATGGTGATCATCTCACACAATACACACACATACTTTAAATGTTTATCGCACATAACTGTGTTGATTTATGTGAATGTGGGCCATCATGGGATGTAATGAATCTGACGCTCTCTTGAGACAAAGCAATTCTGTGACATCAAATTGACGTAGACCAATTATATTAATGTCGTTGAATAAGATAACTTTTTAGTTATGCAGTAGTTCGCGATTTAGAATATAACAAATTTCTAATTATAACTATCTCGTTTTATTTGCGGAAGATTATAGATCAATACAACATGGACACTGTGAGCCTCCATTTCACTCACTTACGTCATATAAGCGCTTCGCCTCTAGGGGGCGCAAATAATAGGAATGCTATATTCGTGATGTTGGTCAAGGACGTTCTAACGCGGCATTACTCCGTACATGTTTTCTATGCATTGTAATGGTTTGTTTGCCTCTCTCAATCTTCGCAAGAAAAACAAAATTGTATATAGCTGTTTCATTCGGGCTCAACTATCCAACGAGTAAATGAATGATACTATAAATCAACGAATCATGCAAATAGAAAACCCGGCTGAGATTGAAACATCATCATGCCGCAAATAAATCATATTTCACTAAAACGTGCTGAGTGACTACTGAATCTAACAACGACAACAGACAATGAGTTCTACGTAATTCTACGAAAACATTACATTTCCTAGCCGGGAATTCAACCCGGGCCTTCAACTGGGTGAAAGCCACATATCCTAGCCACTAGACCACTAGGGAGTATATGACATCTTGCAGATGTGAACTAATCATATCATACATACACGTCCGATGAGATAAATCAATAATGCCCGTGACGTACTAGTTCTATCTCATTCCATTGTTTTCGGTTGACCTCTGACCCATACATATCTTTCCCAATGTTTCAGGGTTGTGCGATAATACTGTATGAAATACAATGATAACCCAACAAAGTCGATAAACATGAAATCGATACAATCGCTAATTTACCTCGCTTGCAAATCCACTGGAACTTGAAATCTAGTGAATAGGATCAATATGAATACAAATGACGATAAGCATAATAATACCATTTTAATTCACAACAGTGCCATTTAGATTATCGCCATAAGAACTTGTACTTAGGATTTTTATTCACAAATGATTGAAATTCCAATCCTTATGCCTAAATGACAGTTCACGTTATTAAACATACTAGGCGTATAGTAAGATTGATAGCAATAAACAATTCTCAATGAACAGGAAATTGGAGAGAAAATCAAATTACTGGCAGATCTGTGTAGCGCACAAAATAAAAAGGCCATAATAAAGCACCCTGTCAGATTACCCGGGGTAACGGAAAATTGTGACGTCCGTAAAAACTGATACCCATCCGTAATTGGGATTCGGAATAGTAATCATTTTAGAATAAATTAAACAAAATCTTATCAGTACATGCGTATTAGGCTAATATACAATTGGGATGGAAATGACTGTGCATCATTATAGCCTCAGAATGTAGGTTGTTTCCATGGATGCGATCATGACGATGAGAGACTGATGAATAAATAATTTACGCGTTAACGTTAATAATAATTTATGGCACATGACCGCATATGATTAAGTTATAATTAAATTATCTCAGTGATATTTTGTTTTAAAATAAACTTATTGAAATAAATGGCTGCCATTTTAAAAACACTTCATGCTTTAGATTTATAACTTGTCACATATTTCGAGAACTAGTTTTACTGTGTACTGTAGAATGCGCTAAGCATCCTGGATAGTCAATACTTAGAGACTGCATACAACACACCAAGATCTACGCCAAGGTACGGTGATCACATTCTCCTTTCGTCCTTGACTCAACAACAATCGCCGACAGTGTTAATTTGCTTAGAAATCCGACTAGAAGAAAGAAAGACTTTCAACAAGGATTTAAAGCGGGAGGTTCGTCACCTGCGCACGCGTGAGAATTGAGTCCCAAGCGACGATAACAACACACGCTAAAACGCAAAGGATCATGGGTAGAGGCTTGTTTGACGCATGCGCAGGTGACGACTCCCCCGCTTTAAGTTCACCAATGCAATACACGAGGCTGAGGCAACTTAAGTGGAGCAATCAAGATATTTCAACCAATAATCGCAATACAATAAGGCACAATTTTTCCACAAATAAATTCCCAACGTCGTTTAGAATTGCGCCCTCGTTTTTCGGCGAGGTTTAATGTTAAACCATATTTTCAATTATTCTGTGTCTTCAAATCTTAAGCAACTGGTGCTACGTGTTACGCGCATTGATACCGCGATGACTGGACGGGTGAGACGGCCGTACAACTTTATAACACTGTACATTAAGACTCTCGTGTTTAAATGTAAAATAAGATTGACGTGATCCTAAAACACCTTTATTTGATTAATACAGAAACGTCGACAAGTTTCAATACAGTACGGAGTGTGGCATGTTCACCGGAACACAACTCAATTACCTAATGCTTCTAATATGCAAATGAACTATTCCGCAGTAATTGTTCTCGTACGCCGGGACTCTCATGTGTGATTGTTGCCATGGAAACATTTGAGGGAAGCGAAATGTTTTAAAAGCATTCGCGTGTTAAGATTACGAATAATTTATAGCACTTTTGTGTGATTAAATTATTGAATTCGGCATATAGCGAGTGGTATGATTGTTTGTTTGTTTGAAAACGAGCGAATAAGTGGTCCCCTAACAGAAGGGGTCGCTTTCCTGTCAGTTTCTTGAAAAGCTCAAATGTTTTAAGTGCCTGGAGTAAATGGTTTAATAGGAAATTCTGTGTTGTACATGGTATATTCACGTTTAGCAAAATGCAATATTATGTTATGGGTGTTCGTATGTAGGCTGTTGAATGACAACGGCCACGCACAGCTTCTACAACATCCCGCGAGACTTGCTACGAGAACAACGCTTTACATTTTTTTTAAATCCCGCATAAATACAAGTATGTAGCAAATTTTTAGCTCCATTCTATAAGTCAATTTCTTGTTGTGCAAAATAGTATAGTGTGAATTTGAGAATATGATACGAACATTTTAACAACATTCATGTATGTGTGTGATATCATGATGTAGTGTTGCGCCCTTGCAGACGGTGTCGTGTTTCTAATCACTGTCGGAGGGCTTCTTGTAGGTATTGGAGCTAAGTCATGGACTATTTTGAAATGCAACAGAGTTCTGAGAGTCTCACATCGGCCAGTGGTCTTCGCATGCGTTATGTCAGAGGGGATGGAAATAAACAAATGTGTTGAATTCTAAAAAAAAATATAATAAAATAAGAATAAGAAATTGCTTGATTCCGCATTCCTACTAGTAACTGCAGTTATTCAGACTCGGTTGCCATGTACCGTTACTGTATTCCGATTTGAATTTGATCCATTCTGAATAAATATACGCTTACAAACCTAAATTGGTACCAATAACGAACAATATAAACGTAATTCATTGTAATAATCCCACATAATTATAATATAGCAAATACGCCGATAATAATAAAATAATTCGAGTGCGCGAAACAAAATATTCAATCTGTGTGTCGTAATTACGATGACCATGTCAGCCATGTCACGCTACGTTTACAATACAACTACGGCAACGATT